CTTCACGTCGTATCCTCCTCTATCTCGTGCATTGAAAATTAAATTTTATGGTATGATCCACGCAGTGTTCCTCAATTCTAGTTGTTCGGGATGCGAGATGATAGGTACTTTTAGCTCATGACTTGCATCATAATGATAATTCTTACTCGTAATTAGAGGGATTCTTAGCTTCTCGCGGTGCTTTGCAACATTATGTCATATGGTCCATCATTGTCTCATCAAGATGGCTGGGTGGTTGCTTGGCAGCTCAAGGATCAAACTATTCTCATGTAATTGCATAACTATTTGTGATTGTATTTATCTTATGAGGGTATCAATGATATCCTAGTTTTTTCAATATGTGAATTAGTCTATGCATAAAACAACACAAAAGAATCTCTTTTTTTAACTAGTTGAGTATTTTTGTACCTTATCAACTCGAATTTTACTTTGCTCTATGTAAATGTAACATTTATTTACTCGATATACCTATGGAAAAATGGATCTAGTTTGAAAAAAGAAAAGAAAGGATAAGTTCTCGTGCAAAGTCCCGGCAAATTGTTTATTTTGAGAAGAACAGAAATTCCTCTTGAGAAAACAATATAAAGAAAATAAAACGAAAGAGACACGAATTAATTTTTTAGATTTAAACAAGAGACGACCACCACGTCCCTTACAGCCGGCAGCCGCAAGCAGCCCCTCCTTCCTTCCGATCTCAAATCTCAAATCTCAATCTCACTATTCGCCAGCATCTCTCTATTACTCCTAGTCCTATACCTCCGCCGCCGGGCACCGTCTCAAATTGGCAATACCCTCCTCCATTCCCTTCGACTCCTCTTCCTCTCGCCGGCTACCAACCGCATTCGGCCACCGTCACCTATCTCTCTTCGCTGTGTAAGTTCCCACTTCCCTTTTCTCTCCGCCATTACCCTTTTGCTCTTCTCTAGACAAGCATCTAGCTGAATAAATTGTCTTCTGCTGTCCTTGACTTTGTGATTAGCACTTGCTTAATTTGGAGCTTACAAGTTCACTCTTTTCAGTGCTCCTTTAGCTGGTCTAATCTTGGAAGAAATTGGAAACGGCCCTTTTCGTTTGTGGGATCAAGCTAGTCTTACAACATAGACTTGAGTTCGTTCATTAATAAAAAAAGAAGAAGAAAACAACGGAGTTGCTTTCGATTCACTCTATGTTCAGTGGATCTCATGGTGAAATGGGGTGTAAAAGAAGCAAACTTTTGTTGATTGAAAATTGGGGAACTTCCTTCATTTATCCCCTCTTTGTATTTTTGTGGGCTAACCTCATTCACCGACTCCTGGGTTGTTTGTCTTTTGCTTAGTCTTAAAGCTCTCGTATGAATGCGTACATGTCTAGAATTGTAGCCATTAAGCTTTGTAACGTACTTGACATAAGGTGTTTGCTATTGCAGCAAAGCTATGACATTGAGATGTTGGCTAGTTAATTAGCTCTTTATGCTTATTCGTGCTCGTATTTCTCCTTATTTGAGAATATGGTGTGTTGTCATTGTGTTTACTAGAATGAATGTGATTTCGTTTTCTGTTCTAGTTCCTTCACAAATTTCTTCAATCGTTGTTTCGTGCAGAGCAAACTACCTAATTATCCAGTTTGATATCCGGCGGATAGCTCTCATTCGCATTATTCTCCAGTATATGCCCACCTTCCAACTTTCAATGCTTTTCCAAAGGTTCAGGCACCTATTCTCCATTCACCTTCAGAGCTGTCAAATCCACCGGAAACTGGGAATTTTCAGCTGACTAGTGCCACTGCCACCTCGATGCCACAGCATCTGGTTAACATCCCTTTGCAGAAGCAGAAAAAGAAATCGAAGCAAGAGCCAGCACCAGCATTTGCAGTTAGTATTATGGGAGTGGAGAGACGTTGGCTTTTCATTCTTTTCTCTGCTGCATTCACTTCTCTACTGTTCCTGGTAGTTTACTCCGGCTCTGCTTTCAGCTTCTCCAAGCCCATACCTTCTGTTGTACGCCATGGCACCCACTACCCACCTTCTTTTGCTTATTACATTTCTGGCACCCGCGGGGATGGTGATAAGATGTTTAGGTTACTGCTTGCTGTCTATCACCCAAGAAACCGTTATTTGTTGCATTTGAGTGCTGATGCTTCAGATACGGAGAGAATGAGATTAGTTGCTGCTGTAAATGCAGTGCCTGCAGTAAGTAGTTTTGGGAATGTTGATGTCCTGGGAAAGCCAAATCGCCTCAGTTATATGGGGTCTTCTCATATCGCATCCATATTGCGTGCTGCCGCCATTTTGTTGAGGTTGGATTCTGGGTGGAGCTGGTTCGTGGTATTAAGTGCAGTGGATTATCCTCTGGTGACACAGGACGGTATGTTTGCTTCGGTAATTCTCTACTAAAGTGATATTTTTGCTATTGCTTGGTTTAGCAGGCATTTTTGTTCAATTGTTCACTTTGGTGATTGTTCTGTTTCCTCTTTTACAAATACAATAAACTTGAGATTTAGATGAGAATGTTGGTTTATCCTTCACCAACCAATTAGCATCTGGGGCATTTTTCGGTGGTATCTCACAGGATTAGATGTGTATTGTTGGCTTTGGGGGAAGCTAGAAGTATTGTAGGAGTTTGAGTACCGGTACTAGTTCGTTTCTTCCATCTGCTAATTGGATTGCGACGCAATTGCTTGTGCAGCTGTACATTTTGACCATGTTAAGTGGCTTGGATTCTCCTACATGGAGCTTGGGGTTTTGAAAATTTGCTCAAATTTTACTCGATTATAGAAGGCATTTGGTTGGCTAGTTTACTTACTTCATGGAGCTCTTTATACTCCTTATGCATCCAGGAACCTAAAGTATTTGGTGCAAGATGGCTATGTGATTAATATGCACCAGTTTATGAAGGATAAAGGTACTTACTGCTGGTGCTATTAGGTGAATGCTGCAGTTTTGTGTGAAATTAGGATTTGATCAAGCAAACTCTGGTAATAGTTAGCCTACACATGTTGGATCCTGCGCAGCAGATAATTTTTGTTCTTGTTGGGCGTGCGAGAGCAAATGTCTTCCATGCAGTGCTGCTGACCATTAACCTATTAGAAGATCTATTATCTCTCAGCTTTTCTGAATGTGGAGCTCTGGTTACTAGTTCAGCTGTGACTTAATAGGTTGTTGTTATAAACTCTATGCACTGATACCAGAAGTGACATTTGTTTTGGGTGTCTGACTCAGAGAGAAAAAGAAGCAACCTTTCCTTTCATGTTCAGGAGGGAGCAGGTGCAAACACGAACCAAAATGATGATATTTTTGTTCTTTTTTTTTTTTTTGTAAAATAATATTTTTGTAGTTGAAGGTAGATAGTGGACTCTGATAGTTCTGAGAAATCTTGCAAGTTAGCTGTAGGCTGTATGATCAAAGTCACCCTAAGACAATGCTGAGTGATCTATCAATGATGATCCCCTGAAATGGGTCAGCATGCAGATCTGAGAATTTGGTTCAATCCACATTAAGGGACACAGACCTTCAACTCTGTTTTATTTCAAACTAATCATGCTTAGGCCAATTAACTATAGTGAACTTTTTGCTTTATATTCCTCTGTTTGATGCCAATATGGTGCTATTGGCGGAACTACACCACCAGTCAGCTTCCACAAAAGCTTTGGAATCTGGATTGTTTAATGTTTTATGACATTTGATAAAAGTCACTAATGTTTGCTCATGAATTACATGCATTTGCTTGTGCCTGACTTTAACTGGTAATCTTATTTTTCTTAGTTACAACACTGACGATTTTCATGCGATCTGGTGTTTCGTTTGATTCCTAGTATATTAGTTTTCCTTGTGTGCCATGATTTTGTGTACTTCTTGTGCAACCATTTCTGTCAGTGACACAGCAAAAAAGCCCTATGAGATGATGCACTTTACTCTGTCATAACCTTAATGTGATTATTGGTTTGTTTCAACTACAATTCTTGCAGATTTATCGCATGTGTTCGCATCTGTTAGCAGGGACATCAATTTCATCGATCACACCAGTGACCTTGGATGGAAAGAGTAGGCTGCCCCATCCACATTTTGATAATATATTTGTTTGTATAAGTCCAGGTAAAATCTAAATACATTTGGTTAACAATTCTGATGTAGATCTCAAAGGTTCCAGCCCATTGTAGTTGATCCAGGGATTTATCTTGCACGAAGAACCCAGATCTTTTATGCTACAGAGAAGCGGACATTACCAGATGCTTTTAAAATATTCACAGGCAAGTTTAACTCTTGAAGCGACTTAACCATACATGTGTAGTAGTTTGCATCTTTGCTTAAAACTAGTTCATTTACTAGAGAGTTACGATTTTCAAAATTGCAGGTTCCCCATGGGTCATCTTGAGTCGATCATTCATGGAGTACTGCATTCTCGGTTGGGACAGCCTTCCACGTGTCCTCCTCATGTATTTCAACAACGTGGTTTTATCTGAAGAGAGCTACTTCCAAACGGTCGTATGCAATGCACCAGAATTCAAGAACACCACTGTAAATAACAACCTGCGATTCATGGTGTGGGACAATCCTCCCAAGATGGAACCCCATTTTCTCAACAACTCGGATTACGATCTTTTATCCCAGAGTGGAGCAGCTTTCGCGCGGCAGTTTCGGAACGATGATTCTGTCCTTGGCATGATCGACGAGAAGATCCTCAGACGTGGTCGTAATCGAGTTGTACCAGGTGCGTGGTGCTCAGGTCGACCGAGCTGGTGGTCCGACCCTTGCTCCGAGTGGGGGGATGTGAATCTCGTGAAGCCAGGACCTCAGGCTAAAAAATTTGAAGACACCATCTCAAATCTTCGTGATGAATGGAGTTCACAGATGAATCAGTGCAAAGATAGTGCATCATAAGTAATCCATCGATCAGTTTGCCTGTTGGTCTGCTTGGTGCAAGTATTTTTGCATCTGAATTTTGTCGAAAAGGAATCCCTTACGGTTCATTATTTCCAGGCGATCTCTGCTCATGGAAGTGTTAATCAAGAATTACTAGGCAAGAGGCAGAGTTGATTAGGGTTGGGAGGAAAGCAAGGGAATTTCACAGGGTACAACTTTTGGGTAGCCAGTGTTTGGGATGATGCAGCCTGCAATAACAGTGAAATTCCATATTATAGAGCTGCAATTACATTGCTCTGTTGTTGATTTGTTGAACATTCTGTTCTTTTGTCTCTCCCTTCAAATTGTAACACAAAGTACATTCCTTCAAAATTTTCATCCAACGCTTGTATCTGTCTATCAGAGGGTAGATTACATAATCCAATGCCACACCAGCAGAACTTCAGCAAAAGAGAATAGTGTAAAGCTTATTATTGAGTCCCAGAAACCAGAATCACCAGAGAAAATGACAAGAAAGAAGCCACGGAATCTAATAGTGCTCTGAAACTGTTAAAACTAGATTAATTACAGACCAAAACCATGGAATGAAACTAACAAGAAACCACCAAAGAACAACTCCCAGAGGCTAAGAACCCAGAAGAAGCCATCATAGTCCCTCTTGTTTCCAGCACTAGTAGCCTGTTTCCCCTGATCACCACCACTAATAGCCCCCACCGCATTTGGATCTCCCCCTGCAAAAACCACAGCAAACCCAAGTAATCTAATTACTTACTCCTTCCTTACCAGTAACATGATCTGAAACTTAAAAAAACCAGCATGTCAATTACCAGCTGGAGCAGGGCCAGGGCTAGGGCCAGTCATCCCTTTGGAGCCCTTGTTCCCAAGTTGATAGAACACTTGGGCATCCGGCGAGTTTGGAGGCAAATGCAGCAACTCTGCAAAAGAATCCAACTTTCTCTCAGTCAAAATCAAATTCAAGCCAACTGAACAAAAAAAGGGTGGAAAAAAGCTCAAATGGGTTCATCACAAACAAGAGAAAAAAGATAGACCAGGGCACTTGGAGATATTGGCAGCCGAGGCAGAGTTGCAGACTGTAGGCAGAGACATAGCCAGGGTAAGGTTGATGTGGAGGCCCAACTGAGGGTCGTCCCTGTCTTTTATCACAACGCACAGGCACTTCTTGTTGGTGTTGAGAAGCTGCTTCAGCCCGCCGCAGCAATCCGGCGTCGGAGATTTCGCCGTGCCTCCAACATACGGCAGGCAAGTAGCCAGCCCTGCTAGCTGCTCTGCACATTCCTCTATTTCCTTCTCCGACGACGAACTCCCGCCGCCGCCGGACGAGGGAGCGGCCGAGACCACAGTGCGGGCGTATCCGCTGCAGACTAAAACCACCATCGCCAGCAACAGCATTTCGTTGATTCTCATCTTCACGATTACGGATGGAAGTCGGATTATGCTACACAGACCCTGTAATTGAGCAGTTATACAGAGTGGGGCTAGACTTGAGAGTGTTTGTATAAAAGACATGGGTATGTGTATATATATGGTCAGTGTGGTGAAGTGACTATGGACAGAAGGAATGATGAAAACTGGGAAATGGGTCGATTCAACAACCCCACTAGCTCACTAAGTGGGCGCATGGCAATTATGCTATGTGCTACTGAGAGCTTATTTTTTGTAAACGTACAAAAACAGATGGCGGTCTCCCGCACTCGCGCGCCTGCTTCTTATTATAGTTTCCATTCCCATTGCCGTTCCCATTGGCTTTTGTGTGTTTGTTTGAGGAGACTGGAGACTGGACACTGGAGTGGTATTTCCTTTTGGTTGCTTTGGCAACGATGACGCTTAGATGACTGCACCATGGATATTCACTGCCTAATCCCTTCTGGTGCCTCGTCCTCTTCTGGGCCTTTTCTTGTCATTGGGCTGCTATTTCAGTTCGTTACACTCCGGGCTTCTTTAACGAACGTCAGCCCGTTTCTTATCAGCTTGTATTTCCTTTTCGGCCCATACTCATGCCGTCAACGGGTTGTGTTGTGTAGGGGTGGGAATTCGGTTGCGGTTTTGCGGTTAAACCGCTAACCGCACCAAAACTGTGCTGTTAGTGGTTAATTGCAAACCGAAAAAATAGGGTATTTTACGGTCGCGGTTAGCAATATTGCATCTTTTGTGGTTTGCGGGTTAACCGCAACCGAACAACATGTAATCGCATTTTAACCGATTACTAATGCGGTTACCTACAGTTTACCGCACTAACCGCGGTTAATTGCACTAACCACACTAACCTCTGTCACAACCATAGACCAAAATGTCTCCAAACCATGAGTATGGTTAGCAACATGGTTAACCGCAAACCGCTTGCGGTGAGGTCGCGGTTGGGGTATATTGCTCCATTTCGATTGCGGTTAACCGCAACCGCACCGATTCCCAGCCCTAGGGTTGTGCAGCAGTGAAGTGAATGCCAACGGTAGGTGCCTTCTCCAGTTAGTTCGGATTTTTTCATACCCATACCCACAGTTGTATCGAAATTTTGTTATAACTCCAACCAATATGTTAACATTCACACGTGTATACTCACATTACATAAGAGGAAAAATACGACAATAAATCACTGGAATAAATAAAAATAATTTAAAAAATATTATATTTGTATGCTAAATATAAAATATGTTGAGAAAAATAATTGATCATTTCTAGAGAAAATACATACTAATGTGTATAATCGAGTGGTTTAGGTCGGATAGTGAGAAATCTATGTCCACTCATTTGTAATCGAAACGGAGAATCGAAACAAAGAACAAGATCGAAACAAAACACGACACAAGATTTAACGTGGTTTCCTTGCTCGGTATGAGCAAGATTATTCCATGGCAGGAAACAGAGTCTCGTATATTCATATGCTCAACAATTACATGCATACCCAAACATATATACTTAGACATACCATAACCCTAGTTAGGCCGAGTTCCTCAAGCTACATATGGGCCTAGGATATGTGCATGGGCCGAATCCCATAACTCAATAGTCTCCCCCAAATTGATGAAAATTTCTCATCATCAATTAGCCAGCAAGATAGGAGTGTGGCTCGCAGAAAATGCCTTAGTCAACAAGTCTGCAATCTGGTTTTCAAATGTAACATAAGCAAGTCTAATAGTCCCAGCATTAACCAGATCTCGAATATAGTGACGATGCACCTCAATGTGCTTTATCCTGTCATGAATAACTGGATTAGTTGCAATCTGAATCGCACTAGTGTTGTCGACATATAGCTGCATAGGGAGCTGAGAAACGACACCCAAGTCACCAAAGAGTCATTGAAGCCACTCTAGCTACGATGTCACGTCAGACATAACACGATATTCTGCCTCTGTAGAAGACTTGGAGACAGTGGCAGACCCAGAAATTTTGTATCGGTGTCCCTTTTAAAAATTAAATTAAAATAATAATAAGTTAAAAAACTTACTTACATAAGAAAATATATGACTAGTACAAGTTACAACAAAAGCTAGGATTTTAAAACGTACTGGAGGTTGTATAGGAAAAGTTAGCAGTAGGGTATTTTAGGACGAAATCGTTGTTTAACCGTTTCATAGCACTATAAATCGCCTATTTGTTTAGCCTTGTGAAGAAGATTTTTCAGGTCAAACCGCCGGTATGTTACGGTTTTTATATCCTTAACTTACTGTAAGCATGTCGAGTTTTGTTATTTTAGACCATGGTACTATATCCTAACCTCTAATGGATGAACCCCCGTCCCCAACTCTCTAACCCAAATCATAAGATTTATTTAATCTTAAAATGAAAATCAACGGTTGTGATTCGTCAAAATTATCGAAGTACAAAAATAGGTGTGAACGCAGGCGTACAACGTTGGTCTGGCGTACGCTAGCCTTTGTCATATGTATGTATGTATGTATCATACTAGACAATCATTCACGAATTGAGCGCTTATTCGATTCCGAACCATGTTCTTGACGTAACTCAAAGCTGAAAAATCTCTCTCGACACTTGCAGTTACAACCAGCAAAATCAATACAACTTTGAGAAGCAAATATACCCATGAATATGTCAGATTCAATTTTTTCTCCGCCATCAACTCAACTAATTTAATCTACAAAATAACTCATTATTTTTAACATAATGATAACAATTCTTAAAATCATGTACAAGAATAGAATCATAAATATTACCAAACTCTTCATAATAAAATTGTATTAGAAATTAGAAGACAGCGCAATTAGGGACAGTTCGTGGGTTCCCTTTTAGTCTTTGAAAAAATTGAGGATAAGAGTTACGCGTTTATAATTTCATTTATGACAAAATCACAACAACAAACAAAATATAGTAAAATAGAAAAGACGTTGATTAATAACTACAGTGTTATACATTCAAATCACATATACTACCATTTTTTTTCTCTTTTTCTCCATACTCAAACTACTATCAAGGGTTTGTTAATTTTTCTCCCAAATTTTAGGGGTGTCCCGGGATACCCCTAGGCTTCACCTGGGTCCGCCCCTGCTTGGAGACTCTATCTTGCTTCTTACAGCGCCACGATATGAATGAGTCGCTCCTGCTTCTTATTTTTCCTCTTCTTTAGGCGAGATAAAATGAATGAATCTTCCTTCTCCCCGAGATAGATTGTTCATTTAGAAGTAGAGAGGGAATCGCTCAAAGATAGCTGCCCCATCTGCAGTTGTTACCCTAGTAGCTTAACCTGTGTGAGTAGTTTCATTCTGGAGACCAATTGATCAATATGAATCTCGAGAGTGGATGGTTGACCGCCGTCCCTTTGTCCTAGAGGCTCTCAAGCCAGTGAGGGGCTTGCTATCTACATCACGGAAGAGCTGCGGTAGTTCGTAGCTTGTCTTTCTTTGATAAGTAAAAAGTGACGTGACGTGTAGTGAGCTTTCTAATGGAAAGGCAAACTTGAAACTGACTTACAACTTTCTTTGCTCTGGAGGGAGCTTCCTAAGTCAGACCAACTCGACTACCGAATCGTCTGAATGGAATGTTTTTGACTTAAGGATGTATTGTTCCGCTTCGTTAATAAGGCGACTCTAACAGAATAGAAAGAAACAGTAAGCTCTATGATATATTTGCTAGCAATGTTATACCTATCAATAGAATAGAAAGAAACAGTAAGCTCTCTGCTATATTTGCTAGCAGTGTTATACCTATCAAAAGCCTCTTGACCGAAGCGCCAACCTCCCTCGAATTTCCCCTTTCTTTAATGCACATATTGAGCCTGAGCTTGCTTGCCTCTTATCTGAGCCTATCTATTCCTCCAAGTGCCTTTCTATTGCGCTTGCCATTAACTCATGTTTACCTTCCTTACTGAAAAGTAATATGCTGATTAGATTAAAGGGAGGATATATCTTGAATAAAAGTAAATTTCATATTGAATTCAAAATAGATTGTGCCAATAAAAGAGATAGAAGAGCATTACAGCCATGAAGGTTCTATAGCTGAAAATAGCTAGGCCAATTTCGAGTTCAATGGCTAACTCACAGACATGATTGAATTAAAAATATCGAGAACGAGAAGCTTCAAGACGAGTGTTTGCTCGGCCTTTTCTGGGAGCACCCACCTGCTCTCGATCCGAAGGTCATAGGAAGAGCCATGCAACCTGTCCCCCACCTTTTCAGTACCAAAAGATAACAGTTAAAGCATCCCTTTCTGCAGCTCCTGGAACAGCCGAATAATCTGGAGTTGTTCTCTTTCTGTTTGAAGTATTTAATTTTTGTGTAAGAGCCCAAAAGGGAATCAATAAGTTTCCCAGCTAACAAGGAAGCGAGATTTAAAATAGAGGTAAATTCTAAACTGGACCGAGATAGCCTATACACCAATTGACCGGCATTACTAGTTCAAGAGGACGTGCATAGGCAGAAACTTACCAAAAGGATCGACAGGAACGGCAGGGGGGATCAACATTGAGCTTGTGTGTGAGTGATAGTTGATAGCTCGTGTGTCGATTCCTGGCATATCCGAGAGCTCGTGATTGGTAATGGCATAACTAGAAGAGTAGTAGGGGAGATAAGGTTACGCGTTGGGTAGCACAGCGCATCTGTTTTGGGTACAGAGGGCTAGCTCTGGGCCACAACTCTGTCGGAACATACCTATGGGTTAAGGGCTACTCACATGCCACGTCTTGCCTCTTTATTAGGAAGCTTCGCCGGATTGACTTCAGTTTAGAAAGTCAGGGTTATGACTATCTTTCACTCGCTCACTCGGGCGTAATACCCATCCCTCCTCAACCCTTTAATCTGGTAAAGAAGAAGAAAGAAGATTCAAGTCTCAATTTCCGTATATTGATCATAGTTTGTACGCCTCACATTCAATTGCTTGGGGTTGGGGTGTAGAGCCGTAAGCGCAATGGGGGGTAACAGAGGACGTGCTCGTACGGTTCATAGAAGGATATGATCAACTGCCCATCACATTCCTACTTTCATAGAAATATAATGGATTGAAAAATATTCGACCAAAAAAGTGGAGCACCAAGACGAATGCACCAAGTTGTAGTGGGACGCCTAGTATCCACACATCCAGCATATTCTGCATCAGAAAATGCCTGGAGCTGAAAAGTACCTGTCGATGGGAGAAAGAGCCCAATGTCCTTAGTCCCTTGAAGATAACGAAGGAGGCGATGAACTGCATCAAGATGAGAAGTCCGAGGAGTATGTATATTGACTAACAATTTACACAACATAGATAATGTCAGGCCGAGTCGAGGTCAAATAGATCAAAGACCTCACAATACTTCGATACTGCTTTCCCTTGTCGGGTAACAAGTCGTTAGAGTCCCTCTCTAGCTTCAAATTGACCTCCATGGAGGTCAAAACTAGAGTACAATCACCGAAGTGGCCTAAACCCGTAACTCCATTAACCACAATCTTCTAATATTACCCATATTCACTAAAAAACCTTTAGATTCGGATTTTACTTTACCCGTTCTGTTTGTATTCGGCCGAATTTTCAATTTTTGTCATCCGAGCGGTGATGCAGTGCAGCTTCGTCTTGGGAGCGGATAGAATAACAACAATCCTTTTGTTGTTATAGTAACAACAAGGGTATAAGGGTAAATTGAATAAAATAGAAATTTAATTAATATATATTTTTCCTTCCCAACTTCCGTGTCCTGTTACTCCGCAACCCTCCCCAGATTTCGGTTGTCCCTCTCATCGACGAGATCTACAGCAGCACTCCCCCTCCTCCGCTACCCATCGAAAACGCCTCTTTCGACTCCGACGGCAGAAGCACCGTCCTCCTCCGATCGTAAACAAATCGTAGTCCTTCTCATGCAACAAGCACGAATCAACTATCACAAAGAATCCCGTCACCGCCGTCGATTTCTCAGGTACCGACCGGACAAATAGCCGCCACGGTGATCTTCTCTATTGCGATGTCCCCGATTACACCTTGCAGTAATCCAGCTTATAATCGGTTCCATCATCGAGGAAATCAAGACTGGAGGGACGGGGAGAAATCGGACTCTGAAATTCCGGCACTCCTCGCTCCCCTGCTGCTCTGTCGCTACGCATTTCTCTCCTGCTCTCCTCTACCTGTAGCTCCACCGCTCTTTCTCCCTCCCAGAGCTTCGCGGCCATGGCGGCGCCGGCTCGACTTCATTGAGTCTCCCAAGCTGCCCCATTGAGACTCATATCTCTCTAGTTGTCCTTGTCCTGCAACTTCGCCGCGCTTCCTTTCCTAGAAATTCGCGGCCATCTACCAAAAAAAAAGAAATTCGCGGCCATGGCGGCACCGACTGTGAACGAGTTAGTCAAGGGGAAATTCATTCCAAAGGATTTCCATGAAGTACTTCTACTGTTCAATTTGTTGTTTCTAATTACCAATTGAGTGGCAGTGGATAGATTAATTGATCCAGTAATGCTTGCAAAAGATTTCTTAGGTCGAGTCAGCTCCTGCGAAGAGCTATTTGTCAGTTTGTTCCAATTTGTTGTTTCTCAATTACTAATTTGTTGTTTCTTAATTTTTCAGTAGATAGATTAATTACATATTGAGCAGCCACTAGTTTATTGTGATTTAGTTTGAAGATGCCATCTTAATTTGTGGAACATTGGCACGTTGCATTCAAAAAAAAATTCTAATCTCAAAAGTTTCTTAATTCATATCACAAATTTCCTTATTTAGACCTGAAATCCCACAAAACATACCATAAACTCCGTAATGTATATCACAAACACGGAAAAACAAACCACAAAAAGTATACCAGAAACCTCTCAATACATACCACAAATAGTCTAAAACATAGCAGAAATCTCACAAAGCAAACCACATAATTTTCAAAAATACACCAGAAACCTGATAATGCAAACTACAAACACGATAAAGCAAACCACAAAAACAAACCAGAAACGTCCTAATGCTGACCAAAAATCTATTAAAACAAACCAGAAACCTCACAAAGCAAACCACATAATTTTCAAAAACACATCAGAAACCTCATAATGCAAACCACAAACATGATAAAGCAAACCACATAAACAAACCAGAAACGTCCTAATGCAGACAAAATATCTATTAAAACAAACCAGAAACCTCGCAAAGCAAACCACAAAAGTTTCGAAAGCACACGAGAAACTTCTTAATGCATACCAGAAACCTCCGAACGCATACCACAAATCTCCTAAAACAAACCACAAACCTCACAAAGCAAACCACAATATTTGCGAAAGCACACCAGAAACCTCCTAATGCAAACCACAAACACAGTAAATCAAACCACAAAAAAGCAAACCCTAAACGTCCTAATGCAAACCACAAATCTTCTAAAACAAACCACACACCCCTCAATGCAAAACACAAATTTTTTTAAAGCAAACCAGAAACTTCTCAATGCAAACCACAAACACGATAAAGCAAACCAGAAACTTCTTAATGCAAACCACAAAAGACATACATAAATATGAGAAACCAAACCATAAATCTCACAATGCAGACCATAACATCCGGTGGTCGTTGACCATTGACCGGTCAGCGAAGACCGTTGACCGGTCAACAAAAATCGTTGACCAAACTCCGATGACCGTCAGTTACCAGATTCCGGCGCCGATAGGCATATTCCGGCCCCGATGATTAGATTCCGACGCCGGTAAGCATATTCCGACCACGGTGAGCATATTCTGGCGACGGTGGCATATTCCGATGACAAAAAAGCATATTCCAGCGACGAAAAGCATATTCCGGTGACCGGCGACCATTTTCCGGCGACCAAAATTTTGGGCCGAAAAAATAAAAAAATATTTTTTTATTATTTAAATTTTTTTTTCATAATGACAATTATACCCCTGTTTTGATTTTACACTAGGTCAACTCATCTAATAAAAAGTCATCACAACCCTAGTTTCCTATTGGTTGGAGACTAGTGTTGTTACAATAACAACACAAGAAGTGTTGTTATAGTATGTAGTCCCCTTCGTCTTCTTATGCTTTCGAACTAGATTCCATCCCCACTTTCCATTATTTTAAATCCACCCATTGAGCAGAGAACAAGCCATAGCATTAGCAATCGCTTTCGGTAAAGCTTAAATTAGATGCCACCTGTCCAAGGAAAGGACAGAATTCAGGAATTGTTAAAATCAATGGATTTCACTAAAGACTGGCCCCCTTTTCCCCAATACCATTCATTCCCCTTCTCATCTTTATCCTTCCTCCGCTCGTTTATTAACACCGCCAATCGCCGCATCACCACAAAATCGAAACCCCCTGTAAAATCCGACAGTTTGAGAGAGAGAGAGAATCAATGGGAGTTGTGCTAATCGACGGCGCGACGGTCCGCGACTTCACGGAGGACGCGGCCCACTTCAACAAGAGCGTCGACGAAACCTTCGCCCTCCTCGACTCCAACAAGGACGGGGTGCTGTCCCGCTCGGAGCTCCGGCGGGCGTTCGAGACCCTCCGCCTGGTGGACAAGGACTTCGGCGTCGACACCCCCACCGGCCCCGAGGAGCTCACCAGGCTCTACGACTCCATCTTCGACAAGTTCGACGGCGACCGCAACGGCAAGGTGGATCTGGAGGAGTACCGGTCGGAGGTGAGGAAGATCCTGCTGGCCATCGCCGACGGGCTGGGCTCCAGCCCGATCCAGATGGCTCTGGAGGACGACGACCAGAGCTTCCTCAGGAAAGCCGCCGCGCTCGAAGCCTCCAAACTCGCCGCCGCCAGTTCTTAATGTTTCAACAGTTTCTGTTTTGCAGTTTGCTTCACTACCCAATCGGATCCGCCCGGTTGCTGTATCCTTGTAACCTTTTTTTTTGTGGAATAAAAGTTCGTGTGGCTGATTAGTAGAAACTGCCCTCGATCGACCAAATTGATTTTGTGATTCACTTTGCTTCACTACCCAATCGCATCCGCCGGTTACAAGAACGGATACCATTGCCAATTAGCTCATGTCCCAAGCTCAGGTTGTGGCGTACAATATCCAGCAACCAAACAGTGAGAGAGACAGCTTTCTGGCCTTCAGAAATGAATATATACAATCCGGAGTAGCCAGGGCCCGGGTATTGACAGGCGTCAGTCGAGTCAGGGTCTTCTTGCCACGTTTTAATAATGTGGTCGCTCTGGATCTGCCACAGCTACCACCCCCAACAAATTTATCCAGAACAAGTAGAAAGCAATCTAGCTATGATGCTAGGGTTGCAAACGAGCTGAGTCGCTCGTGAGCGGTTCTGTGTTGGACTTGGAAAAAAATTTGTTTGAAACTCGATTCGTTTATTAACGTGTCGAGTACGAGCTAAGTTTTGTTCAGCTCGTGAAGTTCGCGAGCTATCTCGACTCGGTGGCTTGTGGAGCTAAACTCGTGAGCTGCCTCGTGTGGAGCTTATGAAATGTCTCAACATTGTGGCTAGACAGCCAACTCTATTACCGACTTATGGGTGAATCGATCTATATCTTATGAGTTTTATTCATACGATTATTAAATTATATATCTCACCCTATATGATGTTTAAAGTGTTGAGTATGTGAGAAAATATTTCTTATTTCTTATTTTTTTTAAAAGTATGTATCATAGATTGCTTGGATTTTATGAAATAACCTGATTTGGAGTAGTTAAAATTTATTAACTAAATAATCTCATACAACAAAGTATAATATGCGATCAATTAATATTGAATACTTGACTATTATTTTTTTCCCCATCATAACCTCAATCACATGTATCATACATGACATACAAAATGTAGTATCAAATACGAGTCAAGATTTTTTTTTTTTTGGAGAAAGAGTCAAGATTTTAGTAAACAAGTCTAGTTCGAGCTCGACTCGCCTCGTTAATAAATGAGTCGAGCTCTGATCTCAGCTCATTCACTAACAAGCTGAGCTCAAACTGGGGTCAAACTCGGCTTGATTTGGCTCATCTGCAACACTACTTAGTGCTAGCGGCCATTCTATGAAGACGTATTCACAGGCGCCAATGGCGAATCCAGTAATTACATGAAGGGTATTCAGCAATGAAATAAAATCATCAAGGATTGTCAAATAGTCTTGAGTTCAAATACTATCATCACTAAAATAAAAAAATTCAAAGAATTTTTGTCAAATAATGGGAACAAGGTTTGTCAATTGACAAGCCTAGGGCTAATCTAGGTCCATCATTAACAGATGCACGGATATATTGGATAACGAAGGTGCGTCACGATCATTGCACCGACGCGGTGATAATTTTACAAATAAATTGTTTCTCTAATATGACAAGATCTTGATTATTTACTGTCTGGACCTATAAAATATAATCAATATCATATATCTAAGTCAAAACTTATATCGGGTTCACAATTCTAAGCCGTAACATCCGGAAAAGTTAAACTGCTCACAGGGTAAACTGTGAGTAGATACTCACTGACCCATGAGCCGAGAGGAGAGAAGGAGAGAATGTCTGGCGCTTTTTTGGGCGGGTTTTGGGCGGCCCGAAATTTTGGGCGGAGGATGTGGGCGGGTTTGGGCGAGCTGGGCGGGAGGTGGGCATCTTTTTGGGGCAACCGAAATTTTGGGCGGGAAAGTTGGAGAAGTGAGGATTAATTCGGGTCTGGGCTTGCAGCCTAATAAGGGCTGCCCGCCGAGGGCCCATGGGCCGAAGGCTCATAAAACAATTTTTTGGGCCGATATTGACATGACCTGACATGATATGTTTTTGTAAAAGGACGAATATTGGTATGACATTATGAGATACTAGTCTGAGTTTTACAGATATTTGTTGACATGTGTTGGCATAATATCAATTCCTAATTCCCTTAAGTTTTTTTTACACTCGTTCAGTTATGCATTGTCATTAATAGTTGTCTTGTGCAGGATGTTTGTAGGTTTTCGTCGTCGATGGTGTTCCTTATGGTTGAGAGATCAATTCGCAGTCGGGGTGTTGACTACGCAAGCCGGAAGTTGAATATGAAGGAACAATTAGGGTCTGGTGGCTTGCAGCCTAGTAAGGGCTGCCCGCCGAGGGCCCATGGGCCGAAGGCTCATAAAACAATTTTTTGGGCCGATATTGACATGACCTGACAGGATATGTTTTTGTAAAAGGACGAATATTGGTATGACATTATGAGATACTAGTCTGGGTTTTACAGATATTTGTTGACATGTGTTGGCATAATATCAATTCCTAATTCCCTTAAGTTTTTTTTACACTCGTTCAGTTATGCATTGTCATTAATAGTTGTCTTGTGCAGGATGTTTGTAGGTTTTCGTCGTCGATGGTGTTCCTTATGGTTGAGAGATCAATTCGCAGTCGGGATGTTGACTACGCAAGCCGGAAGTTGAATATGAAGGAACAATTAGGGTCTGGTGGCTTGCAGCCTAGTAAGGGCTGCCCGCCGAGGGCCCATGGGCCGAAGGCTCATAAAACAATTTTTTGGGCCGATATTGACATGACCTGACAGGATATATTTTTGTAAAAGGACGAATATTGGTATGACATTATGAGATACTAGTCTGGGTTTTACAGATATTTGTTGACATGTGTTGGCATAATATCAATTCCTAATTCCCTTAAGTTTTTTTTACACTCGTTCAGTTATGCATTGTCATTAATAGTTGTCTTGTGCAGGATGTTTGTAGGTTTTCGTCGTCGATGGTGTTCCTTATGGTTGAGAGATCAATTCGCAGCAGGTACGCAGAATATTTCTTTGCCTTTCTTTGATATTAGTCTACTTAAATTTTGGATATTTGTCAGCGTTGTCCGGATATTTATATGCAATTGTTAAATATTATTTTGTTTAGTTGAGATATTAATATTGGTTTGAGTGGATATTAGTCTGGGCACTAAACTCTTTCTCGTGCTTTGTAAATGTAGTTTGTTGGCAGAAAAAAGACGCAAGGAGACTGAGTCAGACTACAATGGGAAACAATCGGTTCCTTATATTATGATGGAGGATAGCCCGTTCCTACAACATGCGGCAAAGGTCTCTACTCCTAACATCTTCAATCGGATACAAAATCAGTATTTGAAAACTGAACCCTATCTAAAGGTCTTTACTCCTTGTGCACGTACTTGCGCTGCGACTTCAACATCTTCTTCTTCCTCATCCTCCTCTGGCTGTGGCGGTGGTGACGGCGGTGGATTTCGTCGATGTCTCTTCACGTTCGTTTTATATCTGCACGTACAAATATCTAGATATATCAAACAATTATCCAAGCAATTCACAACAGATATCATGCTGGTTAAAAACCAATATCCAGATATATCAAACAATTATCCAGGGAAATCACAACTGATATCATGCTGACCAAAAACCAATATCCAGATATATCAAAAAATTATCCAAGCAATTCACAACAAATATCATGCTGGTTAAAAACCAATATCCAGATATATCAAACAATGATCCAGGGAAATCACAACTGATATCATGCTGGTTAAAAACCAATATCCAGATATATCAAACAATTATCCATGGAAATCACAACTGATATCATGCTGACCAAAAACCAATATCCAGATATATCAAACAATTATCCAGGCAAGTCACAACTGATCAGTCACAAATGATATCATGCTGATCAAAAACCAATATTCAGATATATCAAACAATTATCCAGGCAAGTTACAAATGATATCATGCTGATAAAAAAATAATATCCAGATATATCAAACAATTATCCAGGCAAGTCAGAACTCATATCATGTTGATTAAATACCAATATCCAGATATATCAAACAATTATCCAGGCAAGTCAGAACTCATATCATGCTGATTAAAAACCAATTTCCAGATATATCAAAGAAACAATCCAAGCAAAATACAATGGATATCCATAATCAAAATAAATAATATCGAAACGCACACAAAACAGATTATAACATGTATAAGAGATTTAGAGTGCACCATTGATAAATCTCTGCACATACAAATACCCAGATCCTATCAAACAACTATCCAAAAAAATCATAACTGATATCATGCTCAAACAAAACCAATATCAAGATACATTAAACAACAACCCAGGCAAAAAACAACGGATATCCAGAAGGAACAGAATGCATATCTTGCCGAACAGAACTAATATCGGAAGGAACACAAAGCAAATCCACAAAACCCAGAAATAACACCCACAGAAGAACGAACTCATATCCAGTGACATATAAGTTACCACAAAATAAATATTTCACCCACGAACCCAAAAGACAAATCCACAAATGGAAAACCCGATCGTAGACATGAAACCCTAACTCAAATATGTCCAAACGAAAATAAATATCCATGAAGACAAATCCACAAAAGGAAAACCCAGATCAAGTCGTAGCCAAGAAACCCTAACTCAAATTTGTCGAAGCGAAAATGAATATCCATGAACAAAGTATAAGACTAAGACAGTTACCTTAGTCCAAATCCCGCCGAAATCCCGCCCTTCGTCGCCGCCGAAATCCCGCTTCGCTCGCCGCCGGTTCGCTCGCCGCCGCAGGAACTCACCGCCGCACCGCTCGCCGCCGCACCGCTGGTCCCTCGTCGCCGCTTAGCTTTGTTCTTCGTCGGTTTCGTGAGAGGAGGAAAGTGAGAGAGAGGGGAAGTGAGAGAGAGGGGAAGTCGAAGTGGGGGAGAGAGGGGAACTGAATTGGGGGAGAGAGGGGAACAATTTTTGATTTTTGAATTGTGGGCCCGGTGGGCTTGGTCAGCCATGGGCTCGACCAGCCGACCCAAACCGGCTCACCTTCCTCTACCCAAACCCGGCGCCATCTTACCCTAGCCCACGTGGACAACAGATCCACCGTATGAGTATCTACTCACACTTTATGCTGTGAGCAGCATAACTATATTGGTAACATCTCCCCCTTTATCATTAGTGTATCAACCTCCGTACGCTACAATGTCAACTTTGTGAGCTTTTTCTATTTGGTTGTCAATTCCAGTTCCGGTGGGTAAAAAACTAAAAATGGAGGTGGGTTTTAAAACTTTCAGTAGACCTTGCTTGCCTTTCACTAGGCTCCATCTTCCTTTTCCCTCCAAGAGAAAGTAATAAATAACACCAACTCATGCCTTCTAATTTGGTTAACACAAACCACCAGCAGAACCAGATCCAAGCCAAGGGAATCAAAACAATGTCAACCCCCGCCGATGATGAAGAACAAGAAAACCGGCGAGAAGCTCTGACATTCTGGTGCGCCGGCTGCGACGTCAGCCTCCGTCTCCTGATCACCTCCTCCTCCGCCGGCGCTGTTCCATCTTGCCCGCATTGCCACCGTCAGCCTCTTCACCTCATGGACGACATCATCGTTGATCGTGCCAATCATGCCTCCGGCTCCGGCGACATCGACACTGCCAACCTGTTCCTCGTCGACAGCCCCTCGTTCCGCCGCTTCCTCGTGCGTCACCACTGCTCCTTCAACGCCTGCCACAGTAACTGCGACGTCCAGTACTTGGAACTACTGGATTCAATGGAAAACTCGTCGATGTCGTCGCCATCGTCGTTGGCGAATGTGATGATCCCTACCGTCGAAATCGAGCCTCTGTCGCTGGGAATCGATCCGGTTCTGGAATGTGCGGTGTGCAAGGAGCTGTTTGTGGAGGGTGAGGAGGCCAAGCAACTCCCCTGCTCTCATTTCTTCCATTCCCATTGCATCATCCCCTGGCTTTCCCTCCACAACTCCTCCTGCCCTCTCTGCCGCTTCCAGCTTCTTCCCCCTCCACAATTTCTGCGACACCATTGAGGAGTTTACATGATTACATCAATTCGATTCGTTTGTTTTGTTTTCGAAATTTCTGTGATTCTGCTCTTCACTTCTTTGTGCTTCTGGTATGGATTTTCAGGTGGCCGGCTAGTTGGTGCCATCTCATAATAATAAGATAAAGAGAGACAAGGACCCATCTTTCTAAAGAAAGATTATTGATACTGAGAGTGAAATTTGTTTGGGAGGGAAACCCCACAAGATTATGAGTTGCCCTAAAAAATATACACAAGTTACAAACGGCAAACAGAGCTGTTTTGAAAAGCATTATTATGAGGTTGCCTTCAAGAAGTACCTTGCAAGTTACGCATCCTCCATCAATCCATCACCTTCCCTTTCCCCCTTCCTCTCTTCTTTGCAACAAAGATTACAACATTATCATCTGATTGAGGAACCTGAACAACAACTACCAGTATGACAGACGCTGAAAAAAAACCTATGTCGTAAATTACACAACGAGTAATTCCCCCATCGCAGTCATAGAGCCTGACTGCAACTGAAAATTTCCCCCCTTCATTATACTGGGTTTGCTTTACTCAACATATTTGCTTCAAGTGATCAAGATGGCCGCTAAAGATAGAATACACCTGCCCCCTATTGAGCCTGAATCCAAATTCCAATAAAGAAACTGGTTTCATGAGGACCTTCATTTACCACATACAGCTCGAATAACAACTAAACGAGTTCGAGCTAAAATATGTCCAGGGTCCCACGTCTTCGATCCAAATGAACCCCTCGTGTTGAAAACAACCTATCCATGCTGTTAGTCTATTATTCCAATCGTTCCAACTATACAACCCCAGATCTTCCTAATTTACCCATTATTTTCAATAACATATAGTTTAAACCCGAATATCTATTTCTTTTTCAGATTTTCGATCATCCTAAACAAGAAAGCGAAAACATCATTAAAACTATCGATCCATGATGTGCAGTAATGCATACAAATGGTCAACATACAGCACTGAAGGGAAAGGAGAATGAAGAGCTATGCAACAAACCTCAGCCACCAATATGTATCATAGGTCTATTTGCCGTTTTTGCAAGATCAAACATTCCAGCATGCGAAGCTTTTTTCCTCTTCACCTGAAACCCAAACTAACATGAATTACGGAATAGCTTAGAAAAAGCCAAACAAAGAGCCTAACCATCATAAACTCCGTTGAACTATTCCAGTTACTATTCTTTTCCCCAGGTAATAACCATTGTTTTACTTGTTCACGAGGAAAAACAAGCGCTTGAATCAGAAACTGTGCAAGATACCAAGACCACACACCTAACCTGCACATTGTTTCTATGTCTTACACTAATGTCAAAGGGATGAATTGACAAATAATTTGCATACCGCTGCCCCTATTATTTCTCTAAGCTCATTCTCGTCAGCGCCATTGCGAAGGGGATCCCTTAAGCTAACCTGATAAAACAATCAAATGAGCAATAAACAGCATGGACGGATTAATATGCATAAACTATAGAAAACATGATAAAGCAACAAACATAGAGCATATGTTCACTACAAAAAGACCAAATGGGTATTGCAACTAGAAGACTCCATGAAGCAAACAGTTCGCAACAAACCGATCTACTTCCTAGGCAACTTGTCATAAATATGTAGGGACAAAGATATCAGACTGTGGGTGGTCACAGCACTGAACAAGCTAAAGGAATACAGGCATCAACATAAGTAAATCAGAGATGAGAGTTAATAAGCTAGTAGAAAAGTTCACCTCTGAAGGGCCAAAAAGGCAGACTTTGAAATTTCCATCAGCTAAAAGTCGCAGCCTGTTGCAACCAGCACAAAAATGCTCGGTCATTGAGGTGATAAAAGAAACGGTGCCAACATGCCCGTCTATCTTGAAGTTCTTGGCAGTTTCAGTAGGGTGATCCTGAATTCTCTCCAAACTTGGAAACTGCTTCACCTGTCCAAGTGCACAAGCTATCAAAGGATATAAAGGGGAACACTGAGAAATTTCTATACACCATTGTGTGTCAAGAATTCTACCTTACCACTCTATCTAACATTTCTGCATAAGGTACAAGCTTCTTGACATTCCAAACATTTCCATCAAATGGCATGAACTCAATGAAGCGAACATTAATTGGTCTATCCCGGGTCAACTCCACAAAATCGCACATCTCTTCATCATTTAAGCCACGCATAACGACACAGTTCACCTAAGCAGAAGTCAGATTACGTCTTGCATGGACATCATTGTGAAATGTGATGAAACTGAAATGGACTACAGGGAAGTAGGTTACTTTCACGGGATTGTAGCCACACTCCACAGCTGCATGAATTGACTCCATAACCCTCTCAAACCCTTTACGCCTGGTCAAGAATTCAAACTTTGCAGGTACTAAAGTATCCAAACTGATATTGATGGAAGTAAGCCCACTTTCTTTAAGCTTGGGAAGCTTCTTGGCAAGCACAATTCCATTGGTAGTCATTGCAAGCTTCTCGAGGCCTTTCAAATTGGACAATTGAGAGCATATCTCCTCAATATCTTTCCTAATGGTTGGCTCGCCACCAGTCAAGCGAATTTTGTTGACCCCGGAAGCCACAAATAGACTGGCCAAACGAACAATCTCGTTTGGAGCGAGCAGCTGAGGGGAAGGAGTGAGGTCCACACCTTCAGATGGCATACAGTATTGACAGCGAAGGTTGCAGCGTTCTGTCAATGAGATTCTAAGGTAAGTATGCATCCTTCCAAATGAATCAACCAACATATCAGAAAATGGATTGTTGTTAGCATTAGCATTTGCTGGATCATCCTGCAGCTTCGCACAAGAGGTCGCATAGGCATTGAAGAACCCGCTGCCACCGCCACCATGATTGACCTGCAGCAGGCCAAAGAAGGAAAATTGATGCTATCTACCAAACATGGAGCAGTAAAAGGTTTGGCACACTTTCAGGAACTAAACAAGCTAGCTACCGTATCTATTTTCAAGTATAGCTACTGAGTCTAACTAAAGCTGAAAGCTTTTCGGGCAAACCATCATGGAGTTAGCTATAAGAAACAGGATTGAAGAAAATAGAACAGGGAAAGTTACGAAGGCGTTGACTAGACATACTAAAGATGAATTCCGATGATCCCTTAACAATTAACAAATCTGATTAAAGTTCCAAGCTTTTCCCTACATCAAAATTGGATTTGTGGGTTTCGACAAATGACAACAAATTCAGGATCTTTTTCAAGCAAACAACAACGAGAGGGGGATACCAGAGAGAAAGTGAAACTGCTGAATCCCAAATGCCAGTTGATGAGCCTTGTTGCGGGAAGGTAACGCTTCATCGTCGTAATAATCATCCTAGTAGAAGGGAAACCCAATCCAGAAGAAGAAACTGGGGACTTCGGGATGGATGAAATTTGCAGTAATAGGAGCTCGTGGTGTGTTGATTAGTCTAGCAAGAAAAGAAAGGGAGTTGGGGAAGCAGAACAGAGCAGAGGTGGAGGCGAGACAATAACCGGCTAACACCTGGAGTTAGAAGACGGGGTAAACACTAACAATAATGAGGATTAGAACATTGGAGGAACTCCGCCGGAGAAAAGAACCCCAAGTAGTCGCTGCGGCTGAGCTAAGCCGGCTACCAATTTGTTATTATCCGGGGAAAAAAGAGAAAAATGAAAACATTGTTCCAAATTTGCATCGTGGGGCCTAGATGTCCCTGCGCATGAATGATAACTCAACTTTGAGCTTGGCAATTTCAATCTGACCCGTTTTACCCGATTTGTTTAACGTGTTTTGGGGTGGGTCCGACCCGCCTCGTAGGCGGGGCGGGTATGGGTAGTCTCATCGACCCGCCCTGACCCGCCCCATTCTCGACTCGTTCTTGTCTAAATTACATGTAATCTTAGTCAAATACTTAAAATTTTTCTTTTATTGAATCATATTTTAGCTATAATAAAAGGCTAATACTACGGTGCCGCGGTTAAAATTGCGGCACCGGTGCCGCTGTCTTTTGATTGGTCCACATAGGAATGATGTGGCGCTGGTAGGTTTACTAACCCAACCTAGATCCAGTGACCATTAACCGGCCCAAATCGCCATCGAGCCAAGTAGTGGAGTATATGTTGTTAGGGATGGCAATGGGTCGGGTTGGGTCGGGTTTTGCCAAACCCAAACCCAAACCCATGGGTTTATCTTTGAAAAAAACCCGGGGTAAAACCCACCGGGTTTGAAAAACTCAAACCCAACCCAACCCGTTGGGTATCCGCGGGTTCATGGGTACCCACGGGTTTTTTCGTAAAAAATTTACAATTACAAGTTCTTATCAAAATTAAAGTCAAATATCAATCTCTCAATATAAATTATCCATATATAAAACACCATTCTAGAAAATTCAAGCAAATCACAAATTAACTATACAAATTGTTCAACACCAATCTAGAAAACTCATGAAAATTGAAGCAAATCACAAATTATCCATAAATAACATGTTTAATTGAAAGCTTCTTTTTTTCAATTAAGTTTCTTTAGTCTCCACTCCATAACATCAACTTCATTCTACACAATTAAAAAGAAAAAATTAGACATGTCTCCACAAACATAAATAAGAATAGTTGTTTACAATATCAAATATACCGAAAAAATTAATTATATGAGTGGACGGGTACCCACGGGCCGGGTTTACCTAAACCCAAACTCAACCCAACCCGGTGAATAGTGAACGGGTTTAAACCCAAACCCGGCCCAAAACCCGTCAACACGGATTTTACCCGCGTTGACCGGGTTGGGTCGGGTGGGTATCCGTGGGTTCGGGTTTTGTTGTCATCCCTATATGTTGTTCCGTCTTCCCTCCGTTTACCGTTTTCCTTTTTAGATTTTACTTTTTACATTAATATTCTTTTGTTTTATTGTTGACTATATACGTTTTTGTCCAGCAACAAAAAACAAAATACATAAATGAAACACAGAAGCCGTCTGTCGTCTTCCTCGCTCTCCTGCTCCGGCGGACGGTGACAAGCAGTTCCAACCAACTTCCACTAAACTCCTCTATCGGTGATTCAGTCTCCAGTCTATACCATAGACATCCACTAACCTCCACCGCCTTCCTCTTCCATTTATTTCGTGAGAAAGAAAACGAAAGAATCCTTCACCCCGACCGACACTCTGTCTATGTCGAAATGTTCCCCGTCAACGTACCACACCCAAGCCAAAGAAAAATAGAATGGCCCTCCCTCTGAGTTTGCTGTGTTAGTCTTTCCTTTTTTTTCTATTATGTCTTGCTTTGCTCTTTCGCTTGATGCTTCATTTTCTTGAGGCGGTGCTCTGTTATGCTGAACAAGAGTGAAGAGAGAAGGCAGGGAAGAAAACGGACTAAATGGAGGGAAAGGGTCTGACAAAAAATTAAAAATTAATCCCTCCCCACTCTGCGTCCTCCCTGTCGTAAGCGTCAAATTCGAAGCTAAAGTTCCTTGGAGGCAACGCCTTTCCCAACGAAATTCAGCTGCAACCCACGTATTTTGATAGGTCAACTCAACGCAGCAGGCTTTACATTAGCTCTCAGCTTCTCTGAGGAATTAATTAAAGAGCAACGATGTCGACCACCATGAGGAGTTTGCTCTGACTTCGATCTGGGCAATACGACCGCGTCAAGAATACCGAGCCCACCAAACAAAAAGAGCGACCAAGCATCGACATTCAGATTAAGGATGTCAATTACTCAATTGGGAGCAAAATCAGGGAAAGAAGAGATGCCGAGGACGGAGACGGTGAACGAATTTAGTGGAGGTTAATCAAAGAGGTTATAAAGGTTGATAGATTGGCGGCGGATAAGTTCGCTGGAGGGCGAGGAAACGACGATTGCTTCTGTTTCTCGTCCTCCTTTGTTTTCGTCAATTAAATATGAAGGAGTTAATAATGAAAAAAAAAGGAATATGAACTAGAGATTAGACGAACGGAATAAAAAATCTCCGTGTGGGTGGCTTGGACCCAACTACTAACCAAACGATAAGGCTTGGGTTTGAATAACCCAAGCAGTGCCACATCATTCTTATGTGGACCAATCAAAAGATAGCGGCACCGGTGCCGCACTTTTAACTGCGGCACTGTAGTATTGGCCATAATAAAATTGTAAATTAGTAAAAACCTCAATTTTCCCAATAATTTAACTACAATTGTCATAATATTGTTTGTTTTCTTAGTCTTATAATAAAAATAACGAATATTTCTAATGTTTTCATATAAATTGCATACCCATTAGGTCGACCTGCCCCGACCCGCGACCCGTGGTCAATTACCCGACCTGCCACGGGACGGGTCTGGGTACCAAGAAACCCGCCCCGGACCTGCCCCATTGTCATTCCTACTTACAAGGTGGTACTTAGATCTTAAAAAAAAAAGCAATGTTACGAGCACATACCATTGCAATCAACAATAACAAGAAATAAAACGATCAAAAAGAAAGTAAAGAATGTTGAGCTTTACGTTGTGTTGGTTAGTCCACGGCCACAGAGAGAGTCAGCTTCATTATACTTGAGAAGATTACCGATTACAGAAAAATATGAGAAATATTTATATACTTTTCCAAATGGCCTAACACAATCTAATTCGGTAAAGAATAAAATTACATACCAGATCCAGCACAAAGATCTATGTGACTTCCAGTCGACGACAGATTATCTGATTCAAAGTTACATCAATATGTACTTTTATCCACCGGAAGTTATGTTCAACTTGTATAGTCAAGCCTTCTATAGCACCATGAAAACTCGTAATAAGCTAAGTTTTAGAAATCCTACCATACCGTTCGGTTTGATAAAAAATATTGAGTACAGGATCCAAAGGGTAAGTGATTTTAGCGGTACGAAATAGTCGCCCACCATTTATTATAAAAGACTATACTACTGACTTTTCGACTATAACTTTCGGTACGGTTTTACAATTCTTGGTAATAAGTAGCATCAATTCATAACCCAAGTTGGGTTACCCAACAACTACCCAAACCACCCATATCCAATGCCTATTCTGGTACGAAAGCTTCTATACGAGTTCATAACACTTTTACGTAAATATTTTAAACATTTAGAAGGGTTAATAGCATTATGTGCCCCTCTATTACAGTAAATTAACAAACGTACCCTTTTACTAAATTTTTGCACAAACATATCCTTCTAATATTAAAACGTAACGAATTTACCCTTCCATCCAATTATCCGTTAAGTAGTCGTTAAAAGAGTTGTGAAATGACTCAATTGCCCCTCATTTACTTCTAAGCACTCCTAATTTCGGTTTTAATTGTATTATTATATTTCAAATCAATTAATTAAATTAATAAAACCCCTAAACTAATTCACACCCAGTCGACAAAAACCATCCGTCTCCCTCCCCTGGCAATTAGTCCCTGGCGGCGCCTGCTCCCGGCAGCTTCACGATGTCCGTCGCCAACGACATCAAATCCTCCTAGTCCTTCCTGCCAAATTCCAAATGCCGCCCTCGGCGTCACGCCGCAACTCATCTGGAAGATCAACCTGGAGTGGTGCGAACGATGACACCTGCCCCAGCGCCCTGGAACATAAGCAAATCGAATGGATCAGATTCGCGACCGCTTGTTTCCGGATGGAGGCGAACGACTTGACCCAGCTCGGGCTCTGTCTGCCAAGGTGATGTTGTGGTCCTTGAGTATTTCCTTAATGATTTTGGGAGAGAAGACAATGACGATGGAGATTTGGCCGAGCTTGAGCAGGAAGAGTGGGTCGTGCTTCCGTGCTAATCGATGGAGGGCATGGTGGAGTTTGGAGGAGAAGAAGTTGATGAGGTTGTGGATGTTTCCAAAAAGGGGCAGAGTTGCCATCCCTGCGGGGAGGTTCACGAGAATGGATGATTTGCTGGTGGCGGTGGATCTATTTGCTGCCGCAAAGATGCTTCAGTGAGGGTGCGGGGAAATTTCAAAGACTCCATTAGGGTTTAATTTTTCAATTAGTTAATTTGTGGCATAAAATAATTAAAATCAAAATTAGGAGGAGTTAGGAGTAAAGGAGGGGTAATTGAGTAATTTCACATCTTGTTTAACGGCCACTTAACAGATAATTGGATGGAAGGGTAACCACGTTATGTTTTCATATTAGAAGGGTATGTTTGTGCAAAAATTTAGTAAAATGATACGTTTGTTATTTACCATAATAGAGGGGTAGAAAATGCTATTAACCCTATTTAGAAATTAGAATATTCGATAATTTATCACCTCTTCTAATTACCTCAGCCCGACAGCCCCCCGTATTTATATTTTTTGATCCGCGACTGTGCAAAACCACTAACGGCATCTCGGAATTGATTATAACGCCACCATTGACTGAGGTTCCAAGAACGACCATTAAAAATGTATCTCTCCTCTCTCTCTCTCTAACGGAACTTTCCTCTGAACCGCCTAACGACTCTTTTTCCGTCCCCGTCGCTGGGACTTCTCCAGCTCATTCTGAGAGCACCATTTACAATCCTTAACCACCCATCAAAGATCGCAAGGATATGTTGGACGAGAAAGATGGAGGAAGACGCGGCACATCACCAACCGGAGAAGCTCATACGGAGATTGGACAAGGCAGGGGAAGATCTGCAAATGAAGTAAAGAAAAATGGGATATGGAAACCACAAGACTATTCGATATCA